TTTTTTTTTTTTTTTTTTTTTTTTTTTTTTTTTTTCTTTTTTTTTTTTTTTTTTTTTTTTGTTATCAACAGTAACAAAAAGTGAGGAAGATGCTTTCTTCAAGAATCTGTTTATGTTACTCATTAGGGTGGAGAGGGTAAAATGAGTCAGTAAATATGAATGACAGTTTTGTGTCTCAAGTCTTATCCTGGTACTGCTTTTAAACCAACTTTATGTTGAGTTTCTGGCTGCAGGTGTCAATGAGGCAGCAATTCCCACAGCATGCAATGTAGCTGTATGAAAGATGTCAAATTCCAGTTCAGGTCTGCAGAGTTTCCATGTCCTTTCCAGTCCTTCTTTTGGGGATGCTCTAGAGACACCACAGTCTGTGTGTGTATGAGTTGAAGGCTGGAAGACTGATTGTGGAAGAAGAAAAATTGTTGATTTTGTTTTATTAGTTTGCTAGGAAGCTTTAGTGTTCAGCACTTAACTGAAAAGTAATAGCAAGTAGCCCAAAAGTTGGCAGAAAGAGTTGAAAGATGTCTGTTTTCTAGGCAGAAATACCAGAGAAGATAAATTAAAGCAGAGTTTTGTGAACTGTTCTTTGAATATTTTTCTTTAAGCCCAATTCTGAGACTGATGTAGTTACATAAGAACTCGAGGCTTTTTGAAAATATCTGTGTCTGAAGGCTGAAAATCCATCAAGAAAACAGAAAGAATGGCTGATTTTATAATGTAGTATTATTTTTAGGCTTGTTCTCATTACATTTTAGGGAACTTGCCCTGTTGTATTTTGTCTCCTTTAATATACTGAGCATTTTTAAGATAATAAAAAAGCAAATGTACTTTAAAGCAATGGATTTTGAAATAGAAAATGTTGGTTGTAAGATAAAAGATGCATTACTGGTGAAGTGTATAGTATATTCCTGTAGAGTTAAACGGTGCAGGAACCTCATTTTGGCAAGGACTGTGAATATCTGGGACATAAAGACATATTTAAAATATTGTGGCGAGGAGAGGCAAAAGGAGGCTAAAAGGAGGCTGGGGCCCCTGTTAGCTGGCAGATTCACAGGTTTATTAGAATTGAGTTCAGGTTTTAGGCCAATTATTGCAGGTTTCAATGCGATTTTCTTCGTTTCCCCACCTGTCATGTACACAAGTGCTCGGTCAGACACGTTAGCATGGTAAGTGCATGCAATCCTCCCTGTTACAGCCTGTGGACGTGTGCTGTGCAGTGTGGGCAGGACAATTGCCAGATGCAGACCTTTCCCCCTGGCAGCAGCTCCTCGCTGGGGTGAGCCAGCAGAGCCCAGGGGCTGGGGGACAGCCTTGTGCTGAGAGGGGCTGCAGGGTTCCCACCCCACTTCTCTGATCCCTTCTCTCTCACAGGCAGGAATGGCATCTCCCGAAAACCCCGAGCAGCTGATCATTGCCCTGGAACCCGAGGCTGCCTCCATCTACTGCCGGAAGCTGCGCCTGCACCAGATGATAGACCTGAGTAGTAGGGCTCCTGTCAATGGCTACAGCCCCAGTGACACTATTGGAACTGGATTTACACAGGGTATTTCTGTTCATTCCCTTTGCAGATTCTCGTGCCTGCGTTTGCTCTGTCCCCGAGGGATGGTTTCTCACCGTTTCTTCTCGTCCTGGTTCTCTGGAAATGTTTCAGGCTGGCATCAGTTTGCTTTTAAAAACTGTTCTGCTGCTTACTATATTGAGACTTGTTTATATGTTGACCCAGCAGACATCACAGAATGATTTGGGTTGGAAAGAAACTCAAAAATCATCTAGTTCCAGCCCTCTGCCATGGGCAGGGACACCTTCCACTGTCCCAGGCTGCTCCAAGCCCCATCAACCTGGCCTTGGACACTTCCAGGGATGGGGCAGCCACAGCTTCTCTGGTCACCCTGTGCCAGGGCCTCACCACTCTCACAGGGAACAAGTTTTTCAAGTGTGTATTCCTAATACACACTTGAATTTTAGCGTGCAGGTAGCTTCTTTGTATTGTCTTTATTTGGATGTTGTGGGGGTCTTTTAGTATTTTCACAACAGTATTTTTCTGCCTTAAGTTAGTACTTCATGCTGGATTGTTTTTTTTTTTTTCCATTTAATTTGTTGGAAGCTATTATGTGTTTGATTATCTGCATTCTTAAGGCAGTGCTAAATAACTGGATCTGCTATGAAACAATTAGTCGGAGGTGTTCCCAAGTATTGGCAGATGCTTTTTGCTTTCATCTTTGTGAAATATCATTAATTACCTCCATTATACTACATTCCAACACTCAGTGGAGCACATGGCATTGGAATGTAGTAATGAATTTATCTGCATGTTGAAGAGCAACTGGATAATGCCCTTCTGATTTATTGAGCTGGGATCTGTTGCTGCTGTCACTGATTGAAGGGGAGGGACAGAGATTGGAGCAATGTAAGTCACTTGACAGAAGATCCTTCCTCACCAGAGGCTTTTGAGCTTGGCAGCCTACTGAAACTGGAGGGAAATAGAGGAAACAAAAAAGGAAAATGGCCTGCAGCAGTAAGATTTGATAGCTGCTTAATGTGCATATTTCTCTATATCTCTGTGAATTGGAACAGTTGTCCTGATACTGATGGTAGTGTGACAATCTATCCTAGGAGGAGTTTTTCAGAAGATTCTGTATTTTATCATATTTGCTAGGTCAAAACAGTAGAGGCAAGTGGGAGGTTAAGCTAGTAGAGCTATTCCTGAGGATATCTTTTTCAGTTAGGCAGAGTGACTACATCGTTCTCTCAAATCCATGGCTCTCCCAGCCAGCACTTGTCAGATGTGTTCAGTGTTTGGAGGCCCACGCAGAGTACAGGACACAATCTGTTTTCAGGATTCTGTCCCTTCAGGGCCCCTGGGCTTCTCTCCCCCTCATTTGTGCCCTGAACTATTCCAGTTCCTTGTGATTTTACATGAACTCACTTTCAGACAACACAGGGATTTGCTTCTGGGAAAATAATAAAGGAGTTTATCTGGTTAAGGTTTTTAAGCTGGGCAGAATCTGGCAGATCATGGATTTCTGCTAATGGGCTTTTTCTTGGGTAGGGGTACCATTCTCATTCTTGACTTTGTATGGTAAAAAGCTATTGGGGATAAGAAAGGTTTCATGTCAAAATTAATGAAAACAAAGTTTGGAGTGAATTAATTTGGGGTTGGAATTAAAATTTCATAAAGGCATGGCAAGCACCCAAGACAAGCTGAGAACAGATTCAGGAGAAAAACCCTTTAAATATAAACAGAGAGAAGCACTCCAAGGACCATATTATTGCTGTGAAGTCAAAACAGAAATTTTAGTGTTCATAGTAGCAAGGGTAAGCTTGCTTCAGCTGTAGTTAAAGACTGGTTCTTGTGTTCTCTCCTAGCCAACAGGAGGGAATGAAAGGATTGCCATTGATTTCTGTGAGCTTGACAGGCCCTCACTTGGACCTAGTGCTTCATCTGAGCCATGGAATGCTTCATCTGAGCTCTCCCTGTGCTGCCCAGTCAGGGCACTGAGGCTGGGGCAGCTTCTCTGCATCGTGGAACCTTTTTGGGGAGGGTGCAGGAGCAAGTGGAGCTGATGCTCTGTTTTTCTGATGACAGGCACTATAGAAATAGGAAGCAAAGTGCATTCTGTGATTTGCATGCTGGTATTTTCAGAAAAAATTTCTACCCATGGCAGGCTGCCTCTCTTGTAGTGTTTTATGAAGTGCCTTTGAAGGTGACTGATGATAACACAAGGAATGTAGGTTTTTTTATCATTCAGTTATAGAGGTTGATTTGGAAGCATAAATAGCAGAGGTTCTCACTACTCTGCTTTCTCTTGACAGACTGTTCTGCATCTTTTAAATGTCTAAGTAGCAGTTAAGTCTTGTAAGTTAATGGGTTGTTAAAATTGTCTTGCAAGATTACACTTAATTTTTAATTGGTGTATATTTTAAATATTGTGAGGGTCAGCCCTGGTGATCAGTGTCCTTAAGATAATTCTAATTCTTACTTGTCCTTAAGATTAATTCTGAATAATCTGAGCAGCAGTGCTTCTGGCTGCTTGTTTTGGGGTGGACTGACATCCTGAGAGGCTGGTGAGGCGTATTTGCCTGAGCACTCAAAATGAGCAGTGGTTTTTGGAAATGTGGGAATGTTCTCCCATCCCGGGTGGTGGGGGGTGTCTGGGCGTGGGCTGGGGCTGCCATCTGCTGGTGGCGGCTGCTGTGAGCACAGCTGGCTGCCAGCCCCCACCCTGCTGCCACCCACGCTTTGCAAGCCAGAGTGCATTGAAAAACTGCAAGTCAGACCTGTTTATAGCTTTCTTATTATCAGATTGGTGCTATATATAATTAGTTGCATTATTTGTATTAGGTAATTAGCATAGATTAAAAGACAAATAAATATACATAACAATATCAAGGAAGATCAGGCTGGCTTTAAACCATTCTTCCTTCTTTCCAGGAATGACATTCTACCTAATGTTTCTGGTCCCAGTGCAGTAATTTTTGTACATTTGTTAAGAAATGATACATACAGATCTGTCAGCCTGCTTGCACTTGTTCCCTGCAGTTTTTGATTTTATTTCTTCATGCTTTTTTATACTCAGTAACTTTTTTTTTTCTGTCAATCACTAGGGAAGGAGCACGTGCGCCGGAACCGGCAGAGTCGGACCTTCATGGTGGAAAATGTCATAGGAGAGATCTGGTCTGAGCTGGAGGAAGGTCCTGTCCTTTCTTGAACAAACTTTGGTTTTGTATTGCAGGCAAATATTGTGTTTCCCACAAAGGTGCTGTGCACTGCATTGTTCTCATAGTGGTTATAAAGGGGAAAAGGAAAAAACCCACAACTTCACGAGCTGCTCTTAGTTACAAGTGTTGAATTGCAATTCTGTATGCTCTAGCATAAGATTTATTAATGAGATGGTGGAAAGCCATGCAACTAGAATATTTTCCTCAGAACAGGCTTTGTAAATATGGTATAATATTTGGTAGCCCACTAGGATGTACACCAGCAGCATGACCAGTCCCACTTTTCAGCTGTGTTACATTAATAGCTTTTGACATCTAGCTTTGATATTTGTTATCAGTAATTGTGTTGTAATTACTAGCAAAGATCAAGTCTTCAGCATGGCCATGCTGGCTGTCTGTAGGCCCTTATCTCCCTTATCTGGTGGCCTCAGGAGCTCTCACTGCAGTGAGCTGGAGTGCTCATGGTGGTGTAAATGACCCTGGCCTGTCCCCTTGGCATTCCAGGTGATCGGTACATCGTGGTTGACAGTGGAGGAGGCACAGTGGATATGACTGTCCATCAGATCAGGCTCCCTGAAGGACATCTGAAGGAGCTCTACAAAGCAACAGGTATTCACAGAATTCACAGCATGACTAGGTTGGAAGTGATCTTAAAATCATCGAGTCCAACCCGTGCCCTAACACCTCATGTAATGTCACTTCCACTGCTTGCTTTGTGTAATTAGATGGTGTATTATATATTTATGTAATGTTTTGGCTTGTCAGTGAAGGAAGTCTGTGCCTTTATTGCATTTTACTGACAGTTCTCCCTGAAGTGAGACTAGCACGCCAAATTAGTGTAACCCAGCTGCTGGTTGGCTGAATCACATTTATAGTGATAGTGTTAGAATGGCTGTGTTGATACAGGAGTAAGTAACTGTGAGGCAAAGGTGAGATCTTGATTAGACCAACTGTTACGTTTAGCAAAGATCCTTTTTTTGTGAACCTTCTCCTATGACAGTCCTGAGAGTGTTGTTCTGATGTGTATGTGGTCAACTCAGAATGTCATAGGAATATTTAAGAATATATAGAATATTAAAGCTGTGTTTTGTCTGTGCTACAGGTGGGCCATATGGTTCTTTAGGTGTGGACTACGAGTTCGAGAAGCTCCTGTGTAAAATATTTGGGGAAGATTTCATTGAGCAGTTTAAGATCAAGCGCCCGGCGGCCTGGGTGGATCTGATGATCGCGTTTGAGTCCCGCAAGCGGGCGGCAGCTCCCGACAGGACCAACCCCCTGAACATCACCCTGCCCTTCTCCTTCATTGACTACTACAAGAAGTTCCGAGGGCACAGTGTAGAGCATGCCTTGAGGAAAAGCAAGTGAGTAGACAACCACATGGATGCAGAATTAACTACTGGTGGCAAAGACAAATAATTAAAATATCCTAATTATATTAGGACTGAAAGGCAACAGCGTAAAAGTGTAGGAGCATAAAAGGTAATAGCATAAAAGGATGAGAAAATGGGGTTGCATCTGCTGCAGTTTCCAGAATGAAAAGTTCTGATCTGTCTCTTGCAAGAACTTTTCTGTACAAGATTTGCACTTTTCAGGTATATTGCTTTCCACGACTTCTGTTAGGCCACCACTACATCGCTTTCTTTGACTGTATATTGAGAGTGTCTTGCATGTTAATTAGGAATGTCAGATCAAACACAGAATTTGTTGCCTAGAACCTTAATTTTTAGCGGCTGGATCATAGAAAAAAGTCCAAGATTGTGAGATGTGTAAATATATTTATGGCTTGAGGGAAGTTATTAACAGTATCAGATCACTAGAGAAAACTACACTACTGCATAAAGCTCTGCAAGGGGAAGCATTCAGCTTTTGAAGTGATGGCAGGCTTTTGCTTCTTACAGTATTTAACAAGTTTGATAATTTGCTTGATAGGCAGGGAGACATAATCCCCTCCAGAGATCTTAATTCATGATTTTTAGTATCAAAAAGTCACCCTAAATGACAAGATAATGGGCTGCTGTAGAAAAGGAAGTGAGCAGGGCATTTTGCATCTCTTGAAGTTATATGTTACAGAAAGCCTGGAGTTTAATGAGAACGAACAAGAAAACCTGTGAACCTGGGGCAGAAGGCTTGGGACCTGAGAAGGGAAGACCTGATATTTAGTACCTGTGCCTTAATTTTTTAAACTAGCCAATGTTGAATGTAGTATGCAGGCTGGAACTCCTGCATCTCTTTCAGAAGTTATTGGTAAATGTACTGGAAGCTTAAGTGACTTGGAATTCAGCTAAAAGTTGCTTTCTAAATGAGATTGAGGTTCTGAAGTAATAAAAAATTTCTGGAAATCCTTCTCCTCACAAGGCCATCTCCTTTTTATTAGTAGTCTTAATGGTGAATCTTAGAGGAAATGCTAAATGCTCCCTTCAAATGAAATAAAATCAATTGGATAAGAGGATAGAAAGAGTGTAAACGTTAACATATAATGTGCATGAATGTAAGGGAGATTACTGAGCTGTACAGATGTGTATCAGTGGTAGAATAGCATAATGCCTGTGTTCACTTAATATATGTTATGCCTCATTAAAATGCCATTCTCTCTTCTGCCTCCTGAGGCTTCCCAACTTGCTTGTTTTCCCTGTGTGTTTCCAGTGGCTTTGGCCTGCCACTGCTATAATCTAAATATTGCCCTTCTGGGGATGAATCAGTGCTGTTTCAGATGAGTGAGCCCTGCACTGACTGCCAGCTGTTTCAGAGAGCAGTTGAGCATTGCTAATGCTGTAGAAGGCAATCAGGCAAAGAAAATAACAATTAGACAAGCCAAAATAATAATTCTCCCTTCAAATTTTACATAACTGCAGTTGGTATGGGGCTTGGGTGAGGTGGGGCACTTTGTGCCAAGAAAAATACAGGAGATTCTGTAAACTCATTAATGCTGGTCGTTTCACAGCTCAGCTGCAATGCTTTAATGTTCTTTCTGGCTGTTCCTTTGCAGTGTGGACTTTGTGAAGTGGTCCTCCCAGGGAATGCTGAGGATGAGCCCGGATGCAATGAATGCTCTTTTCAAACCTACAATAGACCAGATCGTGCAGCACCTGAGTACGTATCTGTGTGTGGTTCCACTTCCTGGCTGGGCTGAAACTGAAGCTTTGCTCACCCATTTCAACCCAGTAACAACCCTCTTGGTCTGCACCAGCTGTGGATAAGAAATTCAGGTCTGAAACTTGCAGCTCTCTACAAATCAGCTGGGAAGATAATAAAACTAAGGGATATATCCTGAGAACATACCCCTGCCTAGCTCTAGGGTTAGCTTCTGAGTGTGATTCAGTTCTGTTAAAGCTTCAATTTCTCTGTGCTTCCAGGGCTACAAGTATTCAGAGGGCTGACATGCACTGGGAAGCCCAGATCCTGCCTTTCTTTTTCCTGGTTCAGACAACAACTAAATTATACCAGAGTTGTAACTTGTTTCTGGCTATTTCAGCTATTCAGACCTCCAGTTTGTTCCTGCTGAGTGGAAGGTCACATTTGTTCATGACCATCCAAATCGCTGAGATCTCTAAAGCACAAATAGTACATGATGCATCATGGTAAAAGTACTTCCAGGCATGGCTTAAGCAGCAATGAATTTATTTGTCCAGTAATGGAAAGTGACAAGTGCTTATTGGGAAAGTTACTATTTAAGGTCTTCCTAGCAGAAGATGAAATTAGTATCAGGTAGAGTATCATGTTTGTGGTGAGAGAAGTGTTTCTTTCTACACATTAGAATGCACTATTTGGAATAAATATCCAGCTTTGTTCATCATATTTGAGGGATTATTAGCTAAATTTCAGAACTTAATAAGACAACAAGTATAGAGCAAGCTTATATGTGAGCAGGGAGGGAGACACCTAGGACTGCAACAGTTGTGACAGGTAACTCACTTGTTTAAATTAAAAATGAGCCTACAACAGCACTGCATGATTTTCTTGAAAGTAAGAGATGTGGCGTCAAGCTAAGAGGGAAAAATCTGTAAAAATGTAAAGAGGGATTATTTTGCAGGTGATATTTATTGTGGTTAAGATGCTGGAGTCAGAAATAAGTGAATTTGAAACTGAGTGATCTGGAATGCAATAAGGGGTTGGTTTTAAATGCCAGTTAATAAATGTGAAGGTGAGTGAATTCATAGTGAATAGTGAAATACACTAGAGATAACAGAAGTGGGACTGGTGCATGCTGAGGGTGGCAGTGTGGGCACGGATGTGGCAGTTTCAGATCAAGTGCATGGAACTCAGACATTGGCATTTTCACTTGCATTGCCTTGTAAAAGTGGATTTTATTGCATGCTCTCTGTTTCTGTTCAGGTGAGGTGTTTGATAAGCCGGAGGTGACCAATGTGAAGTTCCTGTTCCTGGTGGGTGGCTTTGCCGAATCCCCCTTGCTCCAACAAGCCGTCCAGAGCGCTTTTGGCTCGAGGTGCCGGGTCATCATTCCCCAGGATGTGGGTCTGACCATCCTCAAAGGAGCTGTTCTCTTTGGCCTCGACCCTGCCGTGATCAAGGTGCGGCGCTCCCCTCTGACCTACGGCGTCGGGGTGCTCAACCGCTTCGTGGAGGGCAAGCATCCCCCGGAGAAGCTGCTGGTCAAAGACGGCACGCGCTGGTGCACCGACGTCTTTGACAAGTTCATCTCAGCCGACCAGTCCGTAGCCCTGGGAGAGACTGTGACACGCAGTTACACACCTGCCAAGCCTTCTCAGTTAGTAATAGTGATCAATATCTACAGCTCAGAGCAAGACAACGTCAGCTTCATCACCGAGCCCGGCGTGAAGAAGTGCGGCACCCTGCGCTTGGATCTCACGGGAACTGACGCTGCCGTGCCCAACCGGCGCGAGATCAAAACGCTGATGCAGTTTGGGGACACTGAAATCAAAGCCATGGCTGTTGATGTTGCGACCTCTAAAAGTGTCAAAGTTGGTATTGATTTCTTAAATTACTAACGGCCCTTTCCCCCACCACAGCCTGTTTGTGAGACTGATCTTCCACTGTTCCATTCTTTGACTTTCGTCTGTCATGTCATCACCTTGAATTTCAGCAGGCTATATGAGAACAGCTAGTGAGGTGGGGTCTGTTGTGTTTGTGTCCTTTGGTGACCAAGGACTGCATTTTGAAAAACCCCTGAAGTTTTGGGAGCAAAAGTTCCAGAGGTAGTAAAAGTTACCAAGTTACTCACGCATGCTTAAAGGTCTACCTTTATAAAGTAAACACTGATTATTGTTGGATCCTGAAGGTTAGTTAAAAAAATACCAAGTTGTAATCTCTTTGCCTTGTTCTTCTTCCTCTTCCTCCCGAGAAAAACTCACTAACCCATGTGGCTGTTGTAGGGGGTGTATCTGTGTGGGATATCTGTTTAAACAGCACCATTCTCTGGCAATGGGAACAAATTAGTATTTTTATTGTATTCTTTTGGTTTTGCCCAGTGCTTTCAGAATTTAAAGTGCTGAAAATGAATGACTCAAAGAAATGTCAATTAGGATGTCAATTACTTAAATTCTGAGTAAAGAAAATCCCTAGAAATCCTTAAATTTATATTTAGGAAATACATGTGTGTTTTGGGGGCCTAATATTGATTCCCTCAGGTTGAAAACAAGGCCTTTGTTGTTAAAGCTCTCAGAACAAGCTGTCAGATTAATTAGCTAGAATTATCCTCATTATACTTCGGAAAATTATATTAAGAACAAACCTATTTCTCTTTTGGGTCTTCTAAACTTACTTTTATTAGTCTCCATCTGAAACCACAGAATCGCAGAGTAGTTGAGCTTGAAGGGGACATCCATTGACTATCTGATAAAACCTGTGTTCTAAGCAGTATCAGTCAGAACAAGTTTCTTTTTCCAATTTTTATTGTCTCCAAAATGAAAATCCCTGAACTCCAGGCAACTTGTTTGATAACCCTCACTGTAAAGGTTTTCTTTCTTATGCTTAAAAAGAATTTCTTGAGTTTAAATTTGTGCGTGTTGCCTCTTTCTTGCTCCTTCACTGGGTACCTCTGAGAAGTCTGGCTCCTTCCTCTTTCCTGTGTGCTCTCAGACATTCCTAGCATCCCCTGAGCCTCCTTGAGTCCAGCAGCCCCAGCTCAATCCCTTCTCCCCTTCAATTTGCTGGTCTCAGAGCTGTGTGTCCGTGTCTCTGCTGCCCTGGGAGGCACAGAGCTGCACTGGGCACTCAGAGCTGCTCTCAGCAGGGCTGGACCAGGGCAGTGATGGCTTTTCCAGATCTCCTGACAGTCTGTTCCCAGTGCAGCCCAGGGGCTGCTGGCACTCTGTGTGCCAGGGGCACATTGCTGCCTCTCTCTCAGTGTCTGCCACGATGCCAGGGCGTTGCTGTGCTGCCAGGCTGCTTCCCACACAGCTCCTGCTGCATGGGCTCCTTCCTGCCTTTGCACTTTGCACTTGCCTTTGCTGAACTTCATCAGGTTCCTGTCTGCATATTTCTCCAGCCTGTCAACATCCCATCTGCTTTATTAAGCACCTCCCCAGGTGATTTTATTTCTTTTCTTGTTCATTCCTGTGTTAAGATCTGGAAGCACCGCTTCCAAATGATGAATGGTGGCTGTCCAGAAACATTTAAATAATTCAGAAGAGACAAAACATTCAGATCTAAAGTAATGCTTTTTTTTTTTGTAGCAAACATTTTAATTCAGTAAAATATGTTGCTGGGTTGAGTTGAATGGCCAATGAAGTGGAAGGCAGAAGCCAATAGAATGAAAGTACAAATAGCATTAAATAAAACATTCCTTACGTGGCAGTGAGTTCAGAGCTCTTGAAGCAGGAGAAATGCACTGATGGCCATGATAGCATCTTGTTTTCCAAATAACCACTTTGTGGAAATGTTTCCTTAAGCATGCTCACCTGGCAAATTTCTTTTGCAACTAGAATAGTTTTTACTTTGCAAAATGCTACAGGAGGAAAATTTCTGAAACCTACATTCTGCATCTGCCATGAACTGACAGCTTTCACATCCTAATTCCACTCCAAATTAGCAGAGTGGTACCAGTCTGTAAAATCATCCTAAAATGCTGACACTTTCCAGTACATTTATACAGAGCTGCCTGATTACCTGCTGGAATTCATTACATTTTCAAAACGTTGCAATGTTAATTATTAACCTAAACCTTCCTTTTTAAAAAGTCAAGCATGAGCTAAATCCATTACGGACACTTTTGGGAGATTAAAGCTTTATCAGTTATTTCATTAATTTATGTTCCAATCCTGCACTTAAACTTTCTGTGTTTGTCCTGGAGTTTTGCCACAGTAGAGAGCTGGACAACTGATCCACTGCATTTTGTCATTGAGTTTTCTGTGTCTCCTGCAGAATTCCCTGGTTGAATGGGAAATGTATTCTGCATTCAGCTTTAAAATAAATAAATAAAGGACTATGGAGAATGCTAGTCACAGTATCCTGCTGGATACTTTCTATAATTACAAAGTGTGCTTGCTAGCAGTCGATTTCCTGCTGCCTGCTAAATGCTTTAAAAGCTAAATACTGGGAATTTTTTTGTGTGTGCTGCTTTCCATGGTTTACAAACAAGAGAAACTTTAAGATGAGTTATGAACAATATAATTTTATGTATATACAATATTTAAATATTGTACAGACTCTTTCTTTCTACAGTGCTATTTTCTTGTATAAAAATGCACTTTGCCTCTGTTGATTTCATTCAGCTGTTAATTTTAAATAACACAGTTTCTCAATCAGCTTCTGTAATTATAGGCTTTTAAAGATGGTAAGATATGAAATGTAAAAGGCCGATCTTATAATAATAGGAAAGAAATGTTGGTGTGTCAGATAATACAACATTGTTCCTGCAATGCAAGTCATACCAGCTAAGCACATCACACAAATGCAATAGTCTGTTGCTGGGGTTTTCATTTCTTTGTTTCAGATGGTGACCATTCCATCTCCAGCAATTCTTCATAATAATGGATGAATCCTCCTGTAAAACCAAAAATCAGATTGTAAAATCTGGGTATACAGCTTCTTCACTAGGTTTTGGGTTTTTAAATAAGGAGCTTCTCTAGTTTAAAAAACTACAACAACAACAAATGAAAAACTACCTCCCAAAGCCAGGCAACACTCTTGTATTGTAGCTGCAGGTAAGATACAGTCTCTGTCTACCACTTCCACCTGCCAAAAACCAAAATTCTTACAGAAAAATAGGCTTTGCTGTCTTTGCATGCTATGTTAAGCTGAATCTGTCCAGTTTTGCACAGATTTGTTTTCAGTGGCCTTAACACAGGATTTGGTCTAATAAATGGCTGCCACTCCCCGTCCCCCCTGTGAAGAGGAGGTGACCTGCAAGATCAGGTGGCCCCTGATTTTTGTGCTGATTCCGGCCTTTCTGCAGGGAAAGCTACAGGTGGTTTCTGCAGCTCTTCTGAAGCACAGTTCCCTGCACAGCAGTGATCCTCTGCCCTTTCTGAGTCACCCTTTGTAAGATCCCATCTGGATCCAAGCAGGGGCTTGTTCTGAAATCCCTGTAAAACATGGTTTACATATTTTTGCACTTCCTCCGTCAGTCTGGTGAGAACACTATCAAGCTTATCTTTGCAGAGCACTGAACTACTGAACAAATTCCCAGCTGTGCTTGTTGCCCTCTTTCAGAATGGAAAATTAGCTTGTCTCTCTAAGGAATTAGAATTGTTAAGTAGAATATTATGCTGTGGTCTGTAGACTGTAACCCAATTAAACAACTTTACATTGTAAGAGGCATGTGGATGCCCATTTCTATAAAGGATGTTAGGCTGTAAAATGAATATGAAATTTACTAGGAAATGAGGCATTTTTAGAATTGTAGTTGTGATGCTTTGCAGGACGTTCCCCTGCAGAGCATTTTTTTGGTAGGGGTTTCAGATGACATTGTGCAACTTAGTGTTGAAAAGACAACAAGGCCAGCTATCCATAAGGAGAGCAGAAGGTCTTGGCAGGAGTTTTGCTCTAAGCAGCAATTTGCAAGTTTGGGTCCAGGTTACTGATTTAGCAGCTAATTGTGATGGAATGATTAATTGTGCTAGAATATGATAAATGTGCAGTGGTGATTAGGACAGTTTTCATTGGTATGAGTATACCAATATTCATATACAGGAGTTTTAATGCATTATTATGAGAAGGCTAATTATATATTGCAGAGACTTAATAGCCAAGATAAGCTGCATATTTATGATATGAAGTGGCTTAAGCGGATGAATAGTATAAAAGTTGTTGGGCATAATGTCACAGTACTCACCTGCTTGAAATAGTCTTAAACTATATTATAAAACCAACCATTGTGGTCTTGTTCACCTCTGTGCAAGATAAATTCAGATTTCACTGATACTTGGAGCTGTTCACAACTTGTCTGGATTGTATCTTGAGTGTTCTTGTGTCTTCAATCATGTCAAATAAAATACCTTAAAACTAATTTCTCTTTTTGGGTGCTACTGTTCTTATGGAAATGGCTGTAAAAAGAAACCTAATTTAATATGAAATTGAGACAGGCCAAGTGGTTATGCTTGAATTTGGGTGCTCCTTCATGTGTGTAACTGAGCAGAAGTGACACCGACCATCTGTACAGCTTTAGTTCACTTGTGTGCCCAAGGTGGAACTCCACTGCTGCTCATGACTCAGCTTCTAGCAAAATTGGTGTAGCTCTCTGAGTAAGGTGTTTGTTGGAGTTCAGGCAGACTTTGGGAAATACCAAAAGCAGATCAGGTACTTTCTGCAGTGATGCTCTCAGAGAGCCAGGAAATCAAATACAAAATCTGATATATTGAAGAGAACTAATCTATTATTAAAAGTTGTTTTATTGTTAAAAATGCATTATCAGGCCAATAAGCTGGCCAATAACCAGGTATATTAGCATGAGGATGTGCCTTTTCATAGACCTAGGGATGTTCAGTAAGGTCCAGCTGCACTGCAAAAACCCTTGCATAGCAGTTTGTTCAGTATTACATTTTTGTGCCAACAGCTGTAGGCCATGTTCCTCTGAAATTTAGCAGTGTTGGCACAAGCTCTGGTGGTGATTCAGTGGCACAGGTGACCTTGGTCCACGATGCTGCAAAGATGCAGAGAGTGAACTGAGATGCTTTAGCAGTCACTACACCCAACTTCCACCTATTTGCTGCAATGAAGGTGTTTTACAAGTGCTTTATGACTATAATTATAAACACCATCCTAATAGGCTAGGTACTGTATTTAACTTGTAATGAACTTGATTTCAGCTAAACATTCAATTAATGTTACTAGTACAATGGGAAATATAATTACAGTCTTCAGAGACACATTAAGAACCAAATTTTCCTTTCGGTGTTCTACCACACTGCTGAAGATTCCAGTGGAGTTTCTGTGTGTGCATTCAGAATTTGGTCCTTACACTGGACTTTTCTAAATGTTAAGGCTTTCTCATAGGAGTGTGTTTAGATTTAAATCCACAACCCCATCTTGGTAGAAGGGATTTTGTGTAAGTTGTTGGTTCCACCTAAGAAATCACCTAAGTCCTTACTGAAATTTGCAGATTTTGTACTTATGTGAATAGCTACGGAATAAAACAGCTTGCAAAAGGGCCTCCCTGACAGCAGTGTCCAACTCTCTGGGACAATGGATTCAGAATTCCTTTACTCAGTGCAAGAACTGCTTGGTTTTCAAGAGATGCAGCCTGGATAAATTAGTGAGAAGTGCAGATGCTTTGTGTGACTGGAATTCAGGCCTGGTTGTTACCAGTCTTGCACTTCCTTTTTTTTTTTCAGAAATAAATTCTCTTTTATTAATTCTCATTCATGCCTTGCTGTGTTCTAACAATCAAAAGCAATTTTGTGGTGGAATCAATGCAGAGTCACAATAAGGTATTGTGCTTTTTTCCTTTCAAGTTAGAGACTTGAACGTGAGCATTTAAAAAAAGGAAGACGTTTCCACCACAGCCTGTGCAGTTCACAGATCAATTTCTTACAGCAAAAACTGTGCCATTCTTATGCCATGTATTGAGTCAGTTAACTGCAGACATTTTTCTGCAAACCAAGAAATTCTGTATTGTCTTTAGTTAATGTACAATTGATTAGGTACTGGCTATGATTTTGAAGTGGTACCTATTTTCTAATTTTCAGGGATTTTAGAGAAAGGTTTACTAGATGTCATATCCCCGGAGCTCTGGCCTTGTGTCCAGAGCAGAAGTTGCTGGATTAAGCCATGGTGTCATTACCATGTGATGGCAAAAAATAAAGAGCTTGGTAGATTGCAGCCACTATGATTCTTCTATCAGTGTCCACAGGGGAGCTGACACAGCCATGGAGGAATGAAAAATAAATCTAAGCTCACTCTGGGAGTATTGTGTGCTGCAGCAGAGCCAAGACACCAAAGGAGGATGATGCAAGATGTAGTGTAAGGATATGGGAATAAATCACAAGGACTCCATTTCCTTCATGGTGGAAAAAAAGCTTATTCCTTATTCATGTAACTCATTTTTATACGGTTTTACAGACCTTGTGTGTGACTCCAATTAGTTAGTAGCCTTCTTGCCAATTACTTTTATGGGTTAGTAACAAGTTGTTACCCTGTATTGATTGACCACTCAAACCCCTGGTGTGTACATGCAGGAAAAGTTGTTTTGTGAGAGGCAGCTTTAATTTTTCTGTCTTTACAGTGTAAAAACAGTTTATACAGGTGCTACTTGTGTTTTCACCCAGGAATAGATTGTTATGCTAAGAAATTGCTCACACCAGGATTGCTTTCACAGGGGAACTTGCAGAGTGCTAACTTCCCTTAGAAGAAATGGCAGGCTAACAGAGCAAGCCTGATATTATGAGGCCTTTTTCTTATAATTTTCCCACTTTACTGCAACATAAGGAAATTAAGGAGTTGGCTGGAGAGAAGTGTGAGCAGGACCTGGATGTGCTAGAGCAGAGGCATTGGAGTGCTCCAGCAGTTCCAAGGTCAGGGATGGTTTCAGAGCAGAGAGCGGTGAGATAAAGCTGTGACTGCCAGGGTTTGCTGAACTGCAGCAATCTAAGGAGTTAGAAAGGTGACTCTCCCTTTCCTAAGGACAGCAAGGAGTATTTCCTTCCCTTTGAGGAGTAACCTCTGCACCTCTAGTAGGACCTTCCGTCTGCCATCAGCTGATAAGAGCAGACACCAGACTGAACACATCCTCTTCCTTTGCAGTCCAGGGAGCAGCACCCTGCAGGCACTTGGTAACACACACAGGGCTGCAGCTACAGCACTGCAGGGGAGGGATTGCTCAGAAGGTTTATCCTTCATCTTGTGACACTCATTTCATCATGGATCTGTTTTCTCAGCCTGTGTCTCCCCACCAATACTTTGCCTAGATGGCTGTTGACTCCTCAAAATGAGTGGAGTAGAAGGAAATTAGCTGTTAGTAGAGCAGAGTCCAGCAGAGAAGGTGTTGGTTCTGCATGATGTATGCAGGAGTTGTATCTAAATGTGTTGTTTTGTTTTGTTTTTTTTTTTTTCCCACAAGCAACATTCCAGCTTCCTCAGATGATTTTCTCCCTATGTTCTGTGTATTGGCAGAGGTCTGGATAGCAGTACTGCCTGCAGGGTGTTGTGAACACACAGCCTTGTCCATGCAAAATTCCTTACACAGTGGGCAGGAAAATGGATTTGCCTACTCAGGAAACAAGGTCAACATTTCAGCCTGATAATTGTGTAAGGCAGCTGAAGAATCAAGTAACATCACTGAGGATGTTCCAAAACACTTTAAAAATAGTGTTGGAGTTCTTTTGTTTCATCTAATGGGTGAAACACATGAGATTGAACATCAAAAAGTACCACACACACTTATTGAGGATGTTACAGGACTGAGGAGGCTGATAATACTAGACTGATAATATCCCAACAAAGGAAATTTTATTTCTCGCCTTCAGAGTCAAGTAGCATATAATAATTCAGGTTTTTTCTTTTCTCTCTTCAGATCCATCGAGTATTTTTGCTGACTGCAACAGCAGCACTGTCAGGGCATCACAGGTGTTTCATGCTGCTGGAAAGGATTTCAGGTATCAATCATGTATCACCTTCTGCTGCAAAACAATATTAGTTCTGCCTAAACTACTCCCAACTTTTGTTTAATCTGGTTTTAAAACTTCTGCTGTTTAAAACTTCTGACCATTCTGCAATGGTGTTACCTGCTCGGGCAGGTTGTTTGTTTCACTGTTCTCATCTGTCTGAATTCAATAACATCAGCTTTGACTCTCTGTGCTTGTCCTTCCCCTAGAGAACATGGGAACAATTCATCTCATTCCTGCCCTGACTGCTTTTGACATATCTGGAGACCAGTTTCATGCATGCCCTGAATCTAATTTTTAAATTAAATCCCAGGTCCTTCAGTCGTGTTTTATAGACCTTTTTTATGGCTCTGTTGTCCAGGGAGCTTTGAGGATTAGGCAGTGCATGCTGGTTTCTGGCAGATAAACATCTTATTGCTGGGAGGAGATTTGGAAACTGATGCTGAAGTTGTTCCGTGGGAACACATGTGAAGGACTCATGTTGGGAGCATCCCTCTCCAAAACAGCCCTGGTGAAGCATCAGCAAACAATGAAATGAGATGCAGAGATTTGAGGCACATTGTATTTTGTCTTTTGCAAACATTGATTAAAGGCCTTCCTGTGTTTAAGCTGAAAGGTATGTGTTTAAACCTTAGGAGCTTGTTACAGCTTATGTTATATTGTCTGGGTGTGTTTTGGATAAATGGCACTTAGGAGGTAACCAAGAGTCATGGTTGTGAAGCAGACTGTGAGTTTTCCACTCAGAGAATTTGCATCATTAAATCATTTTCCTTGAACTCCTGTGTGTGGAGGTTCTGATAAACTGTTTGTGCTTCGCAGGCCTGAAGTGTGCTGAGCTTTTCAGCTGCAGGAAAAGTGCTGCAATGAAAAACTTCAGAGAAGGTGACAAATCTCTGACTTCATGAATGACTTGAGGGGGAAGTTTTGGCAGGATACACTGAGCTTTTTACTCTGAATTTAAAATGCAGGAAAATACTCCAAGCACAGAAAATCGGGTTCCGCTCTGAGTTAAAGATTAATTTAATTTGGTACTCACCCCTACTTCTGACTAGATGTCAGCAGCATCTCTGGGTGTCTAAATCTCCCTTACACACCCCTGTTATTAAAATCCCTGGCTTTTCTCTGTGACTGTTATGGGACTTTGGAAAAATCTAAATGGAGAGTTTTGGAAGACAGTTCTTTAGACTCAGTTTTTTAATAGCTATTTTACTCCAATTGGTAGCTGGGGAAGAATCACATGATCTCTTGGGAGATTCCCAATGCTCTATCACCTAAAGCTATGAATGGTTTGATGCCAACAGTGAGTGCTAAACCTTGTGCATCACTATTTCCTCTCTGCTTGACCAGTGGAGAAAGCAAAGGTGCTGTAAACAAGAAAACAGCTCACTGTAGTGCAAACTCTGCACAC